GACTGTGTGCTGAAGACCTGGGAGGTACGGGGGAAGGATTGCATGGACGGGATTGTAACCATGGCAATGAGATGATATACGATAGAATGAATGTAAAACTAATGTTCTCCCATGTAAACTACCACATAATTCACAATAAAACATTTAAGAAGAAAAAAAGATATATATTCTAGAAGTTGATTCCTAACTATCCACCCAGGTCTCCCTCATCAACATGGCGAGGTTCCAAAGACCAGGATGTTATATGAAACTTGGCATTATGCAGAACTGGAGGATGACTACATGAGATCACAAACAAATCTGTTTGGGAAGACATACAATCAGAATGTTCCACAGAAGCACAGCTGCTGAGACTTTGTCTCTCGTACTTTGAACATATTATCTGGAGGGACCAGTACCTGAATAAAGTCATTATGTTTGGAAAAGCAGAAGGCAGCAAAAAAGGAAGATGCCGTACCAAGAAGGACCGACACAGTGGCAGCAGCAATGGGTTCCAGCATAGCAACAACCGTGAGGATTACACAGCACCAGGCAGTGTGTGGATCTGTTGTGCACGGGGTCACCATGAGTCAGCACCAACGCAACAGCACCGAGGAACAGCATATTTTTGACTATTGTTGTAAATGTGAAATGCCAGATAGTAGGCTACACACAAATTACAACGCCGACTTGAAGGCCAAAGCGGATAACTCTACAAGCATTTTTCTCTTTCACTTCAACTATTGAAGTCTTTCCAATTTAACTGGTTCTTGAAAGGCTGTATGTTTCTTATTCCAGTATGCTTGGTTCTGAGCTAAATAGCTACTACTGTACTAAGTCTGTGACAATATATCATAAAAATACATAATGACTTTTAAAACTCATTTACTGAAAACTCATCACTTTTCATTTTAACCCTGACTTGTGCTGTCAGAAATTAATATACTTAAAAGATCAGCAAATCTTTACGTACTATCAGAAAAGAAGATTGGGACCAGGGAGACATGTAGCTGGTGTCTACTTCCCTTTCCAGTATCACAGCTTCTTAGGCTACAAGGAATTGCTACAGATAAAGTCTGAACTTTTTCATAGGCTTCATATTTTCAGAGCAAATTAGTACTGATTCAAAACTACTGCCAGAGGAAAGTTACTCCTCACCTTCCACTGAGCTTTCATGGTGGACGAAACAAGGGAGAATCGCTGCTAGAGCAATACAGACTCAGGGTGGCTGGTGGTCCCCCATCTATTCTTTGTCCTGGCGGTGTTGTTACTAAGTGCTGTTGAGGAGTGGCTGGTGGGTTTGAACCACTGACCTTGCAGTTAGCAGTATTAATCTAAACAATGCCCTAGCAGGACTCCAAGTGTTATCCCTGGGCCATACTCGAGGAAGAATGCTTATCAATCTATAATACATAAAGCCACAGGAAAAAAAAAGGTAAGCACTAATGCCTCTCAATTCCTTGGTCTGGCTCTTGAAGCCCTCCTGAACACAGACAGACCATCTCCCCTTTTTCTTTGTCTTGCCTGGCACAGCCTCCAATTTCAAACCCTAACTCATGCCATCCTCTCTGGCTGAAATGCTGCTCTTTCACCTCCCCACCACCTGGAAATCTAGTCCTTCTGTCTTTACCCAACTGAAGGCTCATCCTTAAAGCTTTTCTGTGTAATCTTATGCCAGTAAGCACTTGCTTGTCTGGACTTTCAGAAGGCGCTCAAATGTGTGTGAACTAAAGCAGTACTCGTTTACTGTCATCACAGCTTGTAGGAATATTAAGACTCAAAGCAGTCATGAAAGAACAGAGAGACAGTCCTCAAAGGGCAGTACTGAGATTTCTTTGAAAACATTACTGGACTCTTTGTTGTTGCTGTTAAGTGCCACCGAGTCGGGTCCAACTCCTAGTAACCCTTTTAGGGTTTTTAAGCAACTAGTGGGTTTAAACTGACAACCTTGTAGCTGGCAGTTCTGTGCTTATCTTACTCCACCATACCAGGATGCCTAGATTAGCTATTAATAACACATTTAGATGCCTGGGACAATTCTATTAACATCAACTCACAAAATTGGTTTAGCTATGTAGTTCTAAAAACCTGAGTCAAAAACTCATCTGTATAATACTCCATTCCACAGGCTGGGAAATTACTGCCTGGATGGTGGTCTGGTATAACGGCCCTAGAGGTAACAGAAGTTTCTAAATCTTTTAGAGTTGCTTCAAAAAGACAAATACATGTCAGAGAACTACGTAGCACACAAACCTAAAATATTTACTGTTAAGCCTTTTACAGAAAAAGTTTGTTGACCTCTGTTCTATTCTTAAGGCAGGACTCAAGAACTTAACCTACATATTACTTAATATCCTCAAATTCAAAAACAAATCAAAGGATTCAATTATTAGGCTGTTAGCAGCAATTTCTCCTATTTTTCCCAGTATCTACCCCACCACTCCAGCTATATCAGAGATGTCAACCCCTCTCAATCAGTAACTTACCTGTTCTGCTTTTTCTGGCTCAGTGTTTAGTGACGGCTCCTCTACTTCTTCATCATATACCCGCTAAATATGGAAGAAAAAATCATTTTCAAAAGGTCAAAACACAATTTGGAATAACAGATTATAATGTAAGGTTTCATTAAACAATAAAGAAAGACAAAGACAGGACAGAAAATGATTGTTCAACAAATGCTATAGCCACTAGTTACAGATAAATAACAGAACCAAAACCTCACTGGGGAGGAAAAAAGATACAAATGACTAGGAGACACAAAAAAAGTTCAACTGATTGTTGACCAACGTATTGCAAAAGCCAAGAAGACAGCAGTTTGGACCCCTTGTTTAGACTGCTTCTGCGGAGATGGGCAGTGATACAGGCCGTCTGACGGGAGAAAACTGGTCAAACTTATCAGCTAAGTAACTGGAATTTTAATGTTTTGAGCAAAGGCAATCATACAGATGCCATTTACTTTCATTGTTTTGCTTAAAATTCTTGATGGGTTTTTATTATCCCACTTCCATTAAAGCCCAGCCCAGAGGCCCCAGATTTGCCAGAAGGCTGGACACATGACTGGCTTTCACCACATGGGCAGGAAGGGCTCTGTTCCAAAGCAGATCACTCAAAATGCAATGCAGTGTGACTGACTTTTATTGTTTTAAAACTTGCAACTGCTTTCTGAACCAGTACCGAAAGTCAATAAGAATGTTATAAAAAGTCAATATAATACAGTGAAGAAAAAATGTTTTGAAACTAGGACAGTGGTAATGTTTGCAAAACTTAGTGAATGTATTAAAAAGCTTTGAACTACACTTTACAGGATGAATTTTATGGTACAAACATTACACTTCAACAATTTTTATATCATACGGTATTATTTTAAGGAGCTCTGGTAGTGTAGTGGTTATGAACTGGGCTGCTAACTACCAGGTCAGCAGTTTGAAACTACCAGCTGTTCCACAGGAGACTGATAAGGTTTTCGGCTCCCATAAAGATTTGCAGCCTCGGAACCCTGTACAGGCTCGCATCAGTCGAAATCAACTCCACAGTACTTAACAACAACAGCGTATATTTTAAAAAGATGTATTTTAAAAGTTTCTCTTCCTGAGATTAAGCTCTTAATCCCCCAACATAACCACCTTAACCTTGGTAAATGTGTTCCTCAGTGTTTTTCCCTTGGCTTTTATGAAAATATATACAGACACATGAACATATTCAGAATTGCTCTACCCTTTCTATTTATCAATAAAAGTGAACTATTAACATCATTCCTCTGCACTGTTTTACCACTTAATGTTCCCATATAGCTTTCTAGGTCAATGCACGTAGCTGCAACACCCTCCTCTTGATAGCTGCGTAACATTCTATGGTATAAAGTCTACCATAGTTAACCCCACAGTTTGTAATGAACACTGGGGAGGTTTCCAGGTTTTGCTGTTATACACAAAGCTGTTCTAAAACATATACACATATACATCCTTGTTGTTAAATTTCAATTAATAGCAACCCTGTTTAAGTTTTTTGAGGAGCATTTGGTGGGTTTGAATGGCTGACCTTGTTTTTGTGGTTAACAGTCCAGTGCTTATCCTACAGCATCACTATGCTGTTGCTGTTGCTAAGTACTATCGGTTCCAACTCACGTCAACCCTGATAGGGTTTCCGAGGCTGTAAATCTTCGTGGGAGCAGAAAGCCCTAATTTTTTTTTTTTCTATAGCCTTCTCCCAAACTAGGATTGCTGAGCCAAAGAACACAGCTGCGTTTTTAATGTACTAGTTATTTTTAGATTGCTGTCCACAGATGCAGAGCAATTTACACCATCGCCAACAATATGTTCAAGTTCCCATTCCCAAGCCTTTGTAAGAGGTGGTTGTTGATCACCTTTTTAAAGCATCTGCCAATTTGCTCAAATAATGTAGTTTTTACAGTTCATATTCTCTAACTTAAGGTTTCTATTTATTGAAACTTACTCTAAGAAAAACAATGATAAATACAGACACAAAGATCTCAAATGCAAATTCATAAATCCTATCCAATTCCAGTCAAAATGCTAGTAGGATTTTCTGTAAAACTGAAACAAAATAATAAACGTATAAGTTGTTGAGTGTGAGAAACCGTGTCAATTCCACAGTGAAAGAAATTATGGATACTCATACTACTGAAACTAATTAGACTGTGATATTGGGGCATAGCAGACAGACTCACTAAAAGGCAGAAGGCAAGAATCAGAGCCACCGTTACAGGTAAGGCTGATTACACAAGCACATGCATTCAGGGACACACACATATTTAGAATAAAAGAACCATCATACAGTGAAAAAAAAACAAAAAAAAAACTGGGCAATTTGTTATTCACATGGAAGAAAAACAAAACCTCACACTACACACATATATATATATATACTCACATATACCCACATGGGTAAACTCCCCAAGTAAAAAGAGGAATAAAAAAGGCAAAGACATAAAAAGACCCCCACCAGAAATGTGTCTAGAGGTAGAGAAAAAAAAAAAAAAAATGCTGTCTTTAAAACAAGTCCAACAAAATACTGAAATCTACCAAGTCTGTGTCAAGGAGCCCTGGTAGGGCCCTGGGCTAGTAAGTGTAAGGTCAGCAGTACAATGCTACCAGCCACTCATCAGGAGAAAGATAAGGCTTTCTGTTCCTATAAAGATTTACAGGCTCAGAAGCCTTATAGGCCACTACAGAATAGGAACGGACTTGACGCCACATAACCACCACCACCAAGTCTGGATAAAGCATATTCATAGTTGTTGTTGTTAAGTACTGTGGAGTTGGTTCCAACTCATAGTGACCCTGCACAGGGTTTCTGAGGCTGTAAATCCTTACAGGAGCAGAAAGCCTCATCTTTCTCCCGCGGAACAGCTGGTAGTTTCAAACCTTGAGGTTAGCAGCCCGATTCATAACCACTACACTATCAGAGTTCCTTATATTCATAGTATAATGATTATTCTCTGTACTGTTCCTTACAAATGAAGCATTCTACTTAAAAACTACATTGGAAATTTCCACTTGAAAGGACCAGCC